GAGACCCGGGCCCGGAGCGGGGCAGCTCCGCAGGGCACCGTCTCGGTAACGGGATGGTTGGAGATCCTTGGGCTGATTTCACACGGTTTGTGGGCAAAACCGGAAAGCTTTGTCCTGAGTAAAACGTGCCACCGGGCTGGTTCCGAACGCCAGGGCTTGGTGCTGCTGAAGGCCACTCTAGATAGGGTTTCAAACCGAAAAATGTGGGCACACGAGGGCTTTTCTCGTTAGTTCTCAAGAACGTTGCAGTCCCGGGGGGTGTGTGGGGGCCGATGCTGCAGCCTTCTCCTTTCAGTCAGTGGTGTCTGACCTGGGGGGTCTTGTCTGGAGTGTTTGGATGTGCAGGTGCAGAGGGTTCTGTGCTGGTACCGTAGGGAAGTTTAGAGATGAGGCTGTTTAACGTGATGAAAGTTACTGAATCGCCACAGGAGCTTCAGCCGGGACAAACCAGCACAATTCCAGCTGCATATTTCAGGCCAGTGCAGGAGGCACCCGAGCCCGTGCTGCCTTGGCACAGGGCATTACTGTGCCAGGCTAAGCTCACAGAAGGAGTTACGTATTGCAGGTAACACTGTCGTGACAAATTCTGGGGTATCTTGGAAGATCTAGTGAAATCATGAGTCCCTGTGAGGCATGGGATGATAACGTACTTGCTAAAGGAGGCGACTGGAGCTGGTTGATCTGTCTGGGACATGGTGAATGTAACTGAAAGAGGAGGGCAAGGGAAAAGAGGCACCAGTCCCAGCCAGACCTGGCAGGTGACTTGTTTAGATCCATTAAATCAAAAAACATGGAGTGAAATTCATTTCCTGACTGTGCTTCTCCTCCCTTTTCTGTTCTCTCACTGCAGCTGCAGATACTGTCATTCGTTTTGCTATGCCAAACAGCCCCTTGTAAAGGAGTTAACTGTGTGTTGTTATGGCATCTGATTTGGGGCAGGAACTCGGATATTGGCCACCCACATCGCAGGGGAGCATTCTGATTGTCTGGATTCATACTTTTTCACCCAGTGAACATTTATTTATGCCAAATGGAACAGGTGCAGGAAGCTAGGATAGCTACAGGTTTCTCTGGGTTATCCATAGTCTTGTTGGTTAATACACTTACTGAATGCAGATTTATTCACAAGATCTAGGTACAATAAAATCATCAGACATCTTCCCCATTAATGTGGGGTAAATGGGCAGAAGCTGAGAGATAAAAGATCAGTTTTTTGGAATGGGTCGTGCTGGTGTTGGAGAAGTAGAGCTCCTGGGCAGTGATTAGAACTGGTTTTCATTCCACAGGGGTTATTACATCCGTGCCCGTGCTGTGGATCACTGTGTTCAGGATTTTCTGCTGAAGACCCAAAGCCACCTGAGGACACAGGTACATTTTCTCTGGGTGTACTGGCACTTTGCACTAAATTTGTGAAAAATCTTTTTGGCACCTTGGCACTGCAGTAGCTTCTTAGTGCATCTGTTGTGATCAGAAGAGCACAGAGGGTCTAACAGGCACTACTGTGGCTGTCCATTTGTGGCTTTGATGTAATGCCTACACAAAATTCTTCTACCTCTTGCAGGAGACTGCCTGATTTTATCATTCTACAGACGATGTTATTGAGTATTTTTCACACCTAGGTGCTCAAGATGCCACCAGATTTGAGTAACTTTTTCTGGTGCTTTCTCTGCAGATCCTGTCTTTAGGTGCTGGCTTTGACTCCTTATACTTCCGTTTGAAGGACATGGGTCTGCTGCACCACACTGTGGTATATGAGGTGGATTTCCCAAATGTGGCTTGCCAAAAAGCTACTCTGATCCAAAGAACAGAAGAGTTGTCAGCACTGGTGGGAGATACTGGAGGAGAAGGATTAGGTATGATATTTATGAAAGGTTTTGTAGGTACTAAGTGTTTAGAAGCAGCAGACATAGCTTCAGCCTTTAAAAAGTGAGACATGATCATAGAGGAACTACGAAGCTTGTTCAATTCCTGACAAAAATTGGTACAAATAAATAATCCATAAGCACTGGAAGATAACAAGATGATGTACAGCTGTTGGGATGGATTTCTCAAGAGTAGGTTGTATCAAACCAAGTTCAGTTTGTTCATGCTGGGAAGTGTGGACTGACACACAATAGGGAGATAAGTAAGCTGCTACTTTTAGACTGTAATAATCAACTTAAAGACAGGTACAGAGCTACACGCAGAGCACAAGGCTCTGGCTCCTGTGAGCAGCTGAACAGGTCTTGGTGAGTAGCTCTTCCATGAGCTTGTTTACTTTCCTTTTTAATCCGTTCACACTTAGTAATTGCAGCATCCCATGGCAAAGAATTCTGTCCATACCAATAATCTTCAAGTGCTTCAACCAAAAGGCAGGTGTCCAAAGGGCTGGGAATACCCTGTTCTCTGCCAGAGGGCGGGAAGTGGTGGATAGACAGGTTAGATGTTGGAATAAATGAGCAGGGAGCGCTGGGCCAGGGCTCTGCAGGAGGTTGTTTTGCCTGTAGTCATGGTGCCTTTGGGAACAGTTGGAGTAACAGTTCTCCAGGCAGTTGTTGGATGGTGCTGATAAGGAGATAAGAGAGTGGGTGATTTCTAAAGGTACTTTCCAGTTTGCTGTGTTTATGATGAGGTTTTGGTTAAATCATGTCATGGTGCTGTAGGTTGTGGTATCCTTAGGGAGTGCAGAGGTGTGCCATGTCCCTGCTCACTGCAGGGGGGTGGACCAGAGGACCTCAAAAGGCCCCATTCCAGCCCCAGCCATTCTCTAATGCTTGCAAAAAATAAATTGGGACTTATTTCCAAGAACAGTGACCTGTGAGACCAGTCCTGTTGTTTGCAGAGAGCTGGTGTGTGCTGTTCAGGATTCCTGATGTTTTTCAGAAATAAAATTTATTTAAAAAACAAACCCCTGGTTTTGTGGTTGTGAGGCAAACCACTAAATTCTGGCAAAGCAATGGTACTTTCTTAGCCTAAAACGAAAGGTCTATAATTGAGAATTCTGAAGATTGAATCTAAATTACAATGGTCCTCTTAAAATATTTTTAAAGTAAATATGATGAAGTTTTCTTGTTATAGAAAATATGACAACTCTGTGAGAAATCTAGGTAAAATCTGCATTAAGGAATAGCTGAGTTTTAGATCTGCATTTAATGGGTCACTCCTGGACACTGTCTGTCTATGGCTCTATTCATGATGGGGATTTTCTTGTAAATGTCCCAAATAAATGGATTTGATGATACAGCCTTGGGAGTGTTGCCTGGGGGTTCATTTCCCCATTTGCCCCTTTTGCTGTCAGTATTGCGTCAGCACTCTGGTGAGATCATACCATTCTTGTCTCTCAGGAGCCATTACCTTTTCTGGAGAGGATTATAAATTACTGGGAGTTGATTTATCAGAGCTGTCTGAGCTGGAGAGAGCCCTGGAGGAAGCAGGACTGGACAGTGAGATCCCCACCCTCTTCCTGGCAGAGGTGGTGCTCACTTACATGGAGAACAGCAGGTTGGTTGAGTTACCCATTAGCTCGGGGATGAAAGGAAGAGAACAGGCTGCTTCGTATGTCCCCTGGGGCTGGGAGACCTGTCTTGTAACTGCAGCCTCAGGGATTCTGTGGAAGGGCCAAACAGCTTCTTATACCGAAGTCGTGATGTGGTCACTGATGTCCATGTGACATCCTAAAAGGGAGGAAAAAAAGTATTTAAAAAAACGTGAAGGAGAGATGTTGAGTGTTTTGTTCTTCTCATCCCCTGACTTCTCAGCTCAGATGGGGAGGAGGTGTTTCACAGGCCCCAGCACAGAACTCTCTTGGCACACCTGCCAGGGTGCTGCAGGCGTGGGGTGCAGGTGAATAGGAGGTGTCCCCATGTCCTGGTGGTTTGATTCCTGAGGCACCGTCTGCTGACAGGTCGGATGCCTTGATTCAGTGGGCAGCAGAGCAGTTCCCTCAGGCATGCTTTGTGCTGTACGAGCAGATGCTCCCCCAGGACCCCTTTGGCCGTATCATGCAGCAGCACTTCAGGCAGCTCAGCTCTGCTCTTCTCTCTCTGGCTCTGTACCCTGACCGCTCCACGCAGCAGCAGCGCTTCCTGCAGAAGGTGAGTACCTGCAGCTGCACCTGCCATGGCTTACCTGGCAAAGGTGGTACTGCTGAATAGTTCTTGTTGTCAGCTGTGTCAGTTATGGACTGAAGCAAAAAGGGCCGAGGCTGAGACTCTGCCTCCTGCAGTAGTGTGACTAGTCCTTTGAAAGTCCTTCCAGCCAACTTGCAGCCTACTTTCTGGTGTGGGATTAAGGCAAGAGACTGAGACTTTTGATACAATAAAGTTCTTAAGAGCTTTACATGTAACAGAGCTATCCTCACCAGAGCCTGAGCTGCTGTTGTTCCAGCTAGGTGGTCTCAAAGGCTCATGCAGGTGGTAAATTTAGGGTCTTTGTTTTCTTGTGAGAAGTGAGTCTCTGTCCTCCCAGAGGTAATAATTTTGAGGGGTTTCTCTTTTAGGGATGGACTGAGTGCAGTGTCATGGATATGAATGAGTTTTTCACCTGCTGTACTCCGGAAGATGAGCAGCAAAGAATGCAGGCTCTGGAGCCTTTTGACGAATATGAGGTAAGCCTCCCTCCTTTACTGTGAACACAGTGACCTGTCTTCGGTTTGATAAGCTGCTGAGGCTTGGTGTTCATGTAGGCCGAAAGGATCTTGAATGAGACAGAGTTAATGCAGAGCCCACAAGCAGTTTCATGTGAACCTGGGCAAGTGGCACTGGAAGAAGATTCTTTTTGGTGTCAGAAAAGCTCCCTGTTCCTCAGTGAGTGGTCTTTCAGGTGACAGTTTTAGCTGCGCAAACTGGTTGGTGGTGTAAAAGGTGATGTAGGTGCTAAAAGTTTGCATGGGCTCAAAGGGCAATTATTTTAATGAAGGAGAAATCCAGAGGATTACTGAGTACAGAAAAATACACCTGATGTAAGGTTCCTGGCTGAAATGTTTGGAGAATTCCTGGTGGGAGTAAGTGCATTTGCCCTGCTCTCTTGCATTTCTGTAGGCTATTGCTCTGTGTCATTGGTTACTAGTTTGATACCAAAACTGGATAGGCTCATGGAGGATAAATCCACCAAGGTTTGGTCTATACAAAGACACAGCTTTCTTGCTTAGAAAATCTCTGAGCGGTACATTTTTGAAAGCTGTAGTGACGAAGGTATTTACTTACTTGCTTTTCTCAGATTCAATGTTAGTCTTCTGATGTTGGCCACTGCTGGGAACAGTGCTGGGCTAGGCTGATCTTTGATTTGGTCACCCTGACCATTCTGAGATTCTTACTACTGTTTGCTCTAAGATTTTGAGGGAGATTGTTTTTGTTTTTTCCTTTGGGCTTGCTGCAGGAATGGCATCTGAAATGTTCTCATTACTTTGTCTTGACTGCATCAAAAGGGATGGAACCTTCCTGGACTCCATTGTCATCCAGTATGACAGGTACAGACTGACTCGTTTTCCTAGTATTCTTTTATCTCATGCAGGCTTCTTTGAGAGATTTTAGGAGACAGCAGAACCCTGGAAGGAACAGATGGGATTCTGCCATCTCTGTAGCTTTCTCCATCCTTGTAACAATGGTTCTGCTGTCCCTAGTGAGGCCAGGGCCTTGTCCTGACTCTGGTGGTTCTGATCAGTTATACTCTTTCAGTTTATCAATAAAACCCTCTGGTCTGGGCAGCTCTTCTTGCTGTTTATACACAGGCCCTGCAGTGCGTGGCTGCAATGCCAGTCTACCCTGCTGCTCCTCCTATTTCTGGGATCTCAGAAACACTCCCTTTTCAATTTATTCCCACTTGGCTCTGTACGTAGATCTCTGAGCCATTCTGTCCTTCCAGCTCCCAAAAGGTTGTGATGTTTTACTTCCTTCACAGTGCTGGACACCACACTGTTGTCCAGCAGAGCACTCAGGAGCATGTCACAAAATTTGTTATTTCTTTTGTAATCCCCTGTGGGTGGGATTATACAGGTAATGGTTCTGTTTCTTAAATGCTTTCAAATCTGGATGGTGCTTTTTTTGGACAGGAGGAAAGTGGTACCATTGGGGAAGAGCCAAGACCAGCACTGTGTTTTCATCATAAAAAGCAGTAGCAGTCCAAGAAGTTCCCACTTTTAGCCACTTGCTTCCTTTTTCAGAAGCAGAAAGTTATTTTTAACCTGTTTCACATCACTGGTCTTGTCAACAGGGTAGCACCACAAGTAGCCCTACCTGCCTTTGAAAGTCAAAGTCTGTTTCTAGGGTGCAGGAAAAGCAGCTGGAAAAGGATAAGCCAGGATGGCATTCCTTAAACCAACAAGGCCACTGAATGCAGGCTGTTGTGTCTCGATTAGATCTGGAAATGTAAAAATCTTGTTTAAAATGTTCTCCTTCGTTCTTGTGCATCAGTCCTCTGTTCTCTCTGCATGGCAGGTCCCTGTGGTGGTGGCCCCATCAGGACAGCTGGCAGTGTCCCTGCAGCAGCCTGTGCAGCACAGACAGCGACTCTGGGCCTGAGGCGCTACGGCCACCGCTCGGTCCTCATCAGACCCAATGTGATCCTCACCACGGGGGGCTTTGGGCAGGAGGGTGGGCAGCACTGCCGCATGAGGAGCTTCCACGTGCTGGCTGAGCATGCAGGCTGCTGGAAAGCTGGCTGCTGGAGAGAGGAAGATCCTGATAGGAGATGGGGTGAGTTCCCGTACTGATGGCAAGGGGGAGGATGATGTGTTTGTGCTACCAACAAAATGATGTATAGTGGAAAAGTGATGTCACAGTGCAGTTATGCTGGCAGTCAAAGAGACCTGCCAGGTCCTGTCCTAGGGTCACACCAATCCCAGGCAGTGCTTCAGGCTTGGGGCAGAGTGGCAGAAAAGTGCCCAGGGGAGAAGGGCCTGGGGGTGTTGGTCAGCAGAGGCTGGAGATGAGCCAGTGTGTGCCCAGGTGGCCAAGAAGGCCACCAGCATCCTGGCTTGTGTCACCATAAGGTGGTGACAGCTGGACCAGGACAGGGAATGTGCCCCTGTTCTGGCCAGTTGGGAGCAGGCACCTCAACTCCTGGGGTCAGTTCTGGCTCCTCCAGGACATGGAGGGGCTGGAGTGTGTCCAGAGAAGAGCAATGGAGCTGGGGAAGGGGCTGGAGCAGAAGGAGAAGGGTCTGGAGAACTTGTGAGGAGCAGCTGAGGGAGCTGGAGGTGTCCAGCCTGGAGCAAAGGAGGCTGAGGGGAGACCTTCTGGCTCTGCAGCTGCTGAGAGGAGGTTGGAGCCAGGGGGGGTCAGGCTCTGCTTCCCAGGAACAAGCGACAGGACAAGAGGGAACAGTCTCAAGTTGTGCCAGGGGAGGTTGAGGTTGGATCTGGGGAACAATTTCTCCCTGGCAAGGGTTGTCAAGGCCTGGCCCAGGCTGCCCAGGGCAGGGGGGGAGTCCCCATCCCTGGAGGGGTTTCCAAGCTGTGAGAGATGTGATGCTGAGGGACATGAGTCAGTGGTGGCCTTAGCAGGACTGGGGGAACAGTTGGACTGGAGGATCTGAAAAGGTCTTTTTCAAACAAAATGTTTTGATGATTCTGTAAATTTCATGGGAAAAAGGCTGGTGGGGCCCCTGGTGTTTTTTGTGTCTCTGCAGACAGGCGGTTGTACCACACCGTGTCATGTCTCTCGAGCAGCCTGGCGCTGGTGGTAGGAGGACGAACATCCCCAGCTCGTGCAGGATTGGGAATGTTGTGGCTGAAGTTCCCTGAGACTTGCAGTGCCTTGGACCCAGGGGACATTACAGTGGAGCTTGTGAACCTGCAGCCTGCTGCTGAAGCAGCTGTTCGGCGCTGGAGACACAGCACAACTGAAGTGATGTTCAGAGGTAAAAAGCCTGGGGAGAGTGGAGATGGCTGGAGGTGTGCAAATCCCAGGGGGAACGGGGCAGTCCTGTCCAGACAGTGAGCAGGATTTCAGTTATTTATGCCATTAATATGTGGTTGATTTGTACCAGAACCTACACAGAAGATACCTTGTGATAGTAACTTTTATGATAGATGAGCTGCGATCTTCTTAGTTGTCTAGATGCAGGGCAGTAAAAATACATATAATTGCATAGTGGAAAACAAAGAGAGTCATTGAACCCCAAACTGGTTTGGGGTGGAGGGATCTTAAAGATCATAGAATCATGGAATGGTTTGGATTGGAAGGGACCTTGAAGGTCATCTAGTTCCAACCCCCCTATATGGTGACCTTGAACATTCAGAAATACACGATATAAGTGGATGATGGAGCTCTTCTGAATGACCACAAACATGAAAAATACAGCTTCTTAGTAAAAATACTGAGTGTTCTATGTATCTTGTAAAAGATCTAGGTACAAGAGTAATTCCTGTTTCTGTTAAATAATTTCTTGCATTTATTGCTAAGAGTGGAAATGTCTGTCAGGTTGCAGGATGTCTTCATGTAAACAGTGTATAAAACTTCTGCCTGGCTGCACTGATTTCTCTCTCTGGCCAGCTTCTCTTCCATGCATACAGAAACTTCTGCTTTTGTGACACACCAAACTCTTCTGTTTTCACCTGGTTGTCTTTTCTGTAGGGGAGAGGTACCTGTTTGTGTACGGTGGCCGCTCTGCTGAGGAGCCTGTGCTGGGGGACTGGCATTTCCTTCACGTTCCAGGACTTGCCTGCACTGTGGTAAGAACTTGGGAGGCCCTGGGAGTAGAACAGGGGATGCTGTGGTGGGACTGTACTCTCTGCCACCCAGCCAGGATGGCCACCCAGCCAGGATGACAACACCCATGAATCAAGGGGTCTCTCTAGATCAGCAGCTCTTGTCATTATGAGTGATTTTAACTTCCCAGACATCAGCTGGGACCATCATACAACAGACACAAAGGAGTCCAGGAAATCAATGAAGCATGTTGAAGATGCTTTCTTGGAGCAGGTACTAAAAGAACCAACTAGGGAAGGTACCCTCCTAGATTTGTTGTTTGTAAACAGCAGAGGACTCATGGTCACAGTGGTGGTTGGTGACTCTCTTGGTCACAGTGACCATGAAGCAGTTGAGTTGCAAATTGTTGGCAACAGAAGAGCAAAACTTGGGCACTGGACAGAGAGACTTGGAGGTGCTGAGGGCACTAGTAGGTAAGGTTCCCTAGGAATCTGCTTTTGAAGGCATTGAGGTCCATGAATGCTGTTCACTTGTTAAGAGCTGTCTCAGGAGCCTGGGAGGAGGCAATTCCAAAGTATAGGAAGTCAAGCAAGCAGGGCAAAGGCCTTAACGGTGTGTTCAGGTATGTAACCAGGAATGTTACCTGTGAGACATATTCCTTACCTGACATTTTTTTCCTTAGAGCTTGCACTCCAAGTTTTCTTTCTGCACATTAGTTCTGTAGTCCAGCATTAATCCGGCTCTGTGCTTCGAGCCACCCATCACCTTCTTGGCTGTTACTGCATTAGTCTGTGTTCTGTAAACTTGTGGTTCTCAGGTACCTGTTTTGAGCAGAAAGCAGCATACAAGAAGGCAAATAAAGTTAGTTACCTCTAATAAATGTGCAGAAAGAATACCCTCTAAAGACTGAGCAATGTTAAATGTACTGAGGTTCAGCGAAATACTGGAGGTGGTGCGAGCCATCCTAGAGGAACACGTGTAGGTTGGGTCTTTTGATTGCTCACTGTCATGCTTACTCTGTCCCACTCCAGCAACTCTTCCTACCCCAGAATGTTACATCCCACAGGACATGCAACAGGAGGAGACCATTTAGGAACCTGGACATGAAGAAGACACTTAGCTTGGCAGACTTCAGCCCAGCCTTGTGTTTCCCCAGGTTCCAGTTGGGGGTCCAGTGCCAGAGAGCCGTCACTCACACAGCGCCTGCAGCTGGAGCGGGGGAGTGCTGATTGCAGGGGGCCTGGGGGCAGCCGAGCAGCCCTTGGGGTCCGTTTTCTTTCTGAGGGAGCTTGAGCATGGCTTTGGGTGGCAGGCAGTGGAGACTCACCCTGCTCTCATCCCCAGGTAAGCTGGGATGCTGGGCAGGGACTCTGGCCTGTCTCACCTCCCTCCCTCACTCCTGGAGCTCAGTCTCCCTCTGGCCTGGCAGGTATTCCCACACGGCACACGTGCACGAGGGGAGACTTCTGCTGGTGGGAGGAGTGTGGCTTCACTCCCCCGAAGTGCCAGGTCTTACCATCATTGACTTATCGACTGGTCTTTGCTTGGACTACACCATTGATGCGGTAAGTGCTGAAGTTCTTCTTTCAGGGTAAACAGAATTGTGTGAAGACGGGACCTGGTACCTTTAAAGCTCTTCCCTGAAGCAGAGTAGGGAATGCAAAGCAAGGAAATTTGAATGGAATAAACTTGTCTGTTCGAGGTAGCGTCTAACTTAGAAGGGCTTTTACCAGCCCAGAGAACATATTAGTGTGAAGAGAGGAAGAGTCTGAGTGTGTAGAGGACAAGGACACAGAGCTGCTCCATTCCAGACTGGGAGCAGAACTGAGATGGGCACAAGCATAAGAAATTCAGAATGTGTGTGGAAGAAGAGAACAGATCAAACCAGAGCCTCAGTCTTTATGAAGATCTGTGGTATAATTGCATAAAAAACTTTGTGGTGGAAATTGCTGTGTATTGCAGCTACTGCCAGAAGTACAAGAAGAAAACAGCACAGAAATACTGGAAATTCCACTGGAATATAAGAAAACATTTTGCTGTAAAGGTGGTTGAACACTGAACAGGTTGCTCAGAAACCCTGTGGTGTCTCCATCATTGGAGGTACTCAAAACCTGACTGGGCAAGGTCCTGAGCAACCTGCTGTGGTTGAGCTTGCTTTGAATGGGTCGTTGGACTAGATGATACTCGGGTCACTTCCAATTCTGTGACTCCATTCTATGATTCAGTGAAGAACAATCATACAGGTGATGTCACATTACAGGATTTTAGTGTATTCTGGGCAAAACGTAGTCTAAATCTGTGAGTAGATCTCATCTGTGATAATACTGCCAGGAGTATGAGGCAGACATGGACCTGTTGGAGAGGCTCCAGAGGAGGCCACAGCCATGATCCAAGGGCAGCTCTGCTGGGGAGACAGGCTGAGAGAGTTATAGAGTCATAGAATGGTGAAGGTTGGAAGGGACGTTAAAGATCATCAGGTTCCAACCTTGCTGCTATGAGCAGGGACACCTCCCACCAGCCCAGGCTGCACAAGCATCATCCAACTTGGCCTTGAACACCTCCAGGGAGGGACCATCAAAAACCTCCCTGAGCAACGTATTCCAGTGCCTTCCTACCCTCATGGTGAGAAATTTCCTCCAGATGTCTAACCTAAATTTTCCCTCTTTCAGTTTAAAACCATTACCCCTTGTCCTATCACTGCCCTATCTGGTGAAAAGCCCCTCCTCAGCTTTCCTGGAGCCTCTTCAGGCACTGGAAGGTGCTCTAAGATCTGCCCAGAGCCTTCTCCAGCTGAACAGCCCTAACTCCCTCAGCCTGTCCACCATATCATGTCATTCTGGAGACCAGTATGTTGTATGGGACAGTGTCAAACACCTTGCACAAATCCAGGTAGATGACGTCAGTTGCTCTGCCATTATCCACCATGTCTGTAGCCTTGTTGTAAAAGGCCACCAAATTGGTCAGGCATGATTTGCTCTTAGTGAAGCCATGTTGGGGTTGCTTAGCCTGGAGAAGAGAAGGCCCTGGGGAGACCTTATTCGAGCCTTTCTGTACTTAAAAGGGACCTACAGGAGAGATGGGGACAGATAGATGAGTCCAGCGCAGAGCCACAAAGATGATTAAGGGAGTGGAACATCTCCCTTATGAGGAAAGGCTGAGGGAGCTGGGTCTCTTTAGTTTGGAGAAAAGGAGACTGAGGGGTGACCTCATCAATGTTTACAAATACGTACAGGGTGAGTGTCAGGAAGATGGAGTTAAGCTTTTTTCAGTGATGACCAGTGATAGGACAAGGGGTAATGGATGCAAATTGGAGCATAGGAGGTTCAAGGTGAATATCCGAACATTTTTTTTTTACTGTGAGAGTGACAGAGCACTGGAACAGGCTGCCCAGGGAGGTTGTGGAGTCTCCTTCACTGGAGACATTCAAAACCCGCCTGGACACGTTCCTATGTGATGTGCTCTGGGTGCCCCTGCTCTGGCAGGGGGGTTGGACTAGATGATCTTTCAAGGTCCCTTCCAACCCCTAGGATTCTACGATTCTATGATCCTATGATTCTATGACTTGTTAGTAGGACTTGTAGTGATAGGACAAGGGGTGCTGGTTTTAAACTGATGGGGGAGATTTATATGAGATATTAGAAAGGATTTTTGTACAATGAGGATGGTGAGACACTGGCCCAGGTGGCCCAGAGAGGTGGGATCCCTGGAAACATTCAAGGCCCGGTTGGACAGGGCTCTGAGCAGCCTGGTCTATTGGAAGATGTCCCTGCTCACTGCAGGGGGTTGGACTAGATGGCCTTTAAATATTCTACCCATCCCAAACCATTCGATGATTCTATGAGGAAGTTTCTGTTGCTTGACAAGTTTTTATTTATCTTTTGCATAAAGAAACAACTTTCTCCAGATATCTGTGCATATGGATCCTGTCCTTGGTGAAGCTCGAGATTGTGACTGGTCTGGTTTTCACAGCAAGCAGTTTGTTTAATTTAGTTTTCTTACTCTCTGTAGCAGAAGTTGTAAGTGGTCTGGTGTCCTTCAGGTAAAACTGGCTGATCTTGTTGGCTAGTGGTGAGGGTGGGTGCAGTGATCATAAAGTTGTATCTGAAATAATAGGACTTTTTGGTTTGCATTGAATAGGTGGGTGCAGATGGGTTGGTTGCTGCCTTTGCTTGTGAGCTGTTTGCTTTGACTTGGCCAAAACTCTGAAGGCTTTTGAACCTGCTGGTGCTGTGCTCAAGTACTGATGGAGCTGCACAGAGAATGTGTATGAGACCTGAATTGTCAGTGACTTTCTGTGCAGGTCTAAACATTGGTGTGGCAGGTTTCATCCCTGTGTTGGCAGGTGACAGCACCAAACCCACTTTCTCTGTGATTGAGAAAGCCATGGATCCATTAATGATGGGCAGATATATCTCCCAATCACTGTCCCTTAACCAAGAATATAGACACTGTGTTCTCTACTTGTCTGGTTTTGCCCACGTTCTTGGGTGGTACAGTGGACTAAATGGTCCTAGATGGGCCCCAGCATGCCTGTTTTTAACTTGCTAATGAAGGTACCATATGAAATATCTCTATAGAGTGTTGTGTGATGTTGTTGAAGCCCCATATGTTCAAGATCTCATTTTCTTTTTTAGGAGCATCTTGAGTGGCCATTAATGGTGCATAATCACAGTAGTGTCTTTCTGCCAGATGAGAAGGAGTTGGTGCTTATTGGTGGTGGTGGGAACTGCTTCTCCTTTGGGACACACCTGAACCCAGAACCTGTCTCGTTGAACCTCAGCAGCATCCTGACCAAGCAGGGCTAAACTCGATGATCCCCAGAGGTCCCTTCCAACCCCTAACATTCTGTGCTGCTGCATGGTGGTGGGCAGCTCAGAGCAGCACAATGTTCCCACAATGTTGTATATCCAGAGTGCATTTGGAAAGGTGGGATTAGGAGGGAGAGTTATGATAAGGGGTTGTTTACCTCATCTGTTTATTTGTACTACTCTTTGTGTTGCTGTAAATAAAGTCTCTCAGAAGTAGCTCTGGTGACAGCAGTAGTCCTCAGAGGTGGCGTGAGGAACAGTGCTGTGCTCAGAAGGGATGTGGCTTTGCACAATGGTGACTTGGAGGGACAGTGAAGTCACCAAGTCACAAAGCAATTGGAAGTGTCCAGTCAGGCATCATTGAAGAAGTCAAAGTAGGTGTACCTAGGTCATATTTGGATGTTTCAGAGGGTCGTGTCTAGTCTAGTTACGACAAACTCAGGCTCCTCTGCTTCTTGCTGCCAGCAGCTCAGCCCCTGCTGGCCAAATCCCTTGCTTGTTTCCCAGGTTTCCAAGAGGAGCAGGAGGGTGCTGCTGTGTAAGCCCAGGGCTGAGTCTTGCTGCTGACACCTGAACTCCTGTACCTGGGAAGGTGCTGGGGGAGGATACTGCTGGGAACCCAGTGAGCACAGGGTTCAAACTAGGGTGATGTTCTTGAGAATGATCTGTCTGTATGGATTTTATACAAGATGACCAGAATTCTTTAGAGAGGTTTTTATTTTGGGGAGAGCCCCATGGAAAACTACTAGAGAAAGACTCCTTGGAGTATAAACGAACAGGAGAAAAGGAGATCTTTCAAGCTGTTGCAGAACCAAAAGTTGTTGAGGCTGCTGATTGGGATCATGTCTGAAGGCATCCAAAGATCAGTGTGCCTTCTGATTTCTATAGCGAGTCTTCTGGCTGTGGGAAGGAAGAGGGTGCACAAATCCTAGGGCTTTTGAGAGCACCTGCTGGTTTGGGGTGTGTGTCCAAGAAGCTGGCAGACACTGGAGCAGGAGCAGACCCTGCAGTCACTCCCATCCAGACTCCTGCTCCTGCAGTTGCCAGTGGCCCATGACCAGGAGCTGGAGCAGACTGGGGAGGCCCCCTGGCTGGGCAGATTTTCCAATTCTTGCAAACCCAGATTCTCTTTCCTCAGGCCCCTCTGGTAGCACAGTCTGTTTAAGCAATGTTTCTGGTATAGAATGCTTTTTAAGAGCAACAGCCAACTCCTACTGCAGCTGCCCAACCATGCCCCAATGAAACAGTTAAATGAGCATGAAAAAAGTTGTAAGAACATGAAATATGCCTTTTCTGTAACTTATTTGATGATACAGTTAGACCTGTCTTGGGATTTGTCACGTAAAAAGGGCAACGTTTGCCTGTCTCGGAGTCCCAGTGGGACTGTCACTGTGGCAGCTTCACAAATTTGCCGCTTCAGAGTCCCAGAAAAAGGACTTTCACTGAAGCCCTTGTCCACCTCAGACCCTCAACAAGGATGTTCACTGAGACAGTTTAAAGGCAAAGTTAAGGTGATTTATTGATGTGACAGTTGTAACAAGTTCTGGATAGATGTTGATAAATTCACTGGGTGCACAGATTTGAGGTGAAGATAGTAAAGTCAAAATAAAAACATCCCAGAGTCAGAGGTGCAGGTTGCACCAAAAGGCATCCCCTTTGGAGAAGAAGAGAGGATTCAGGCCTGTTGGCCCTTCCAGAGAGCTGTTATCTCTTCCTCCAGGGAAACAGAATTCTAAGACTAATTTATACTGTTGACAAGATGGGACTAGGTAGTAAGTAATTTTCTGATTGCTACATTTGCAGGCACATATTACTTAAGACAGGAGAGGGGAAAAAGACCAGTGTGGCTCTTGAGGCACATTTCTCAGGTGTCATTGTTTCCATTGTTTTGACTCATCGAAGCCACCCCAGGCCACAGAATCTTCATCCTGTTCCAGAAGTTGTGCTAATTGTCAGTCATCAAGTTTACAGTCAAGAGGAACAACCTAAGCCCAGAGTTTGATATTGGTAAATACCTTTGGCTGACACCACAGTCTGTTCCTTCTGCCCTAGTCCTCATTAGCTAGGAATCACAGTGATTCAGCCTCCTGTCTTTTGGAAGACAGTCCCTCTGTGAGGGTGGGCAGACTGGCAGGACTGCATTCCTTTTGTTGAATTTAACAAAATCTGTCCTGTTGCCCCATAATGTCCTGTGACCTCAGTCACAGCTCATCAAGAATGTAATCTACTTTGGGTTTAGGTGGGTTGAGGGGTCCATCTTCCTCCTCCCTCTTTTCGTCGATGGGGGTGGCATTAAAGGGATGCCTTCAGTATCACAAAACTGAAGCATTTTAAGCTGCATGGTTAGGGCTCTAGTTGTCATAGATTTTCCACATTGCAACCCAAAAATAACAACAACAAACCTTACGATAAACATTAACACATTGGATTAGATTCTGAACCCGTCCACTAGCTCCCTTTTCTGCGCAGAACTGGATCTCAAAGCAAATCTCTGACTAGTGTGTGGATGGGCTCCCGCTGTCAGGACAACGGAGGAGCCCCCAGGTGCGGGCAGTGGGGCCGATGGTGACGGACCCCCCCGGTAAAGGGGTGGCTGGAGGTGGGGGGGGCTGATTCTGTGATTGATTCCGTGATTGATCCCGTGATTGATCCTGTGACTCTGCGATGGCCGCTCCCGCTGCCGCTCAGGGCAGCAAAGGCC